AATCTAGCTAGGAGAAGAACCCTACCTCTTAAAGCGTAATACACGTAGTAGGAACTCCAAGAAAATCAAATCAAGCTTCAAACCTTGATTTTCAAAAATTTCAATGGATACTTCATTGAATTTTTTTATTATTTGTGCATAAGCATAGCTCTCGTCATGTAGATCAACTTTAGTTCTTGGCCCTGAGCATTTTGATGAAAGATCGCCCCTAGATCGCAAGAAGAAGGTAGAGATTTCTTGAGTTTTGTCTCTCTTCTTCTTCTTTATCTTTCTCTCTATTTGGATGCAGGGTCGAGAATTGGTGGAAAATCTAATTTTTTCCCTTTTTATACTCCCCATATACTTGGCTTACAACGCGGCACACATCCCACCTTTTACTAATCTGATTTCGTCGCAATTCAATTAAATTTCATCCTATTTTAAGTTCAATATATTTTATTTGACCTAATTTTAAATTATTTTTCATGTTCTGCAATTAAAACCCAATCGCATTTATTTTGGTCATGTGAAACCTGATCGCATCGTAAAATGCAAAAAAATTGATTGTCTTGGAATTTAACAAATATTGACTAGGTAACTAGATTTTCATCAAGTAGAGTGTAGATCACATTCTTAATTTTGTTCCATTAAAATAAATAAAGTGCTTTAAGTTTCAAACACATATTATGATACCATTCATCGATGGGGAAAAAAAACTTATTTTGGGATCGTGGCATGGAATTAGGGTTTGAAATAGGAACTGATGCAAAAAAATGGTACACAATTTGAAATGGTTTTGTGTAAACACCAACTCCAAACTACCAATGCAACATTATTAAAACATATCAATTTAAGAAAAACCTTGAATATACACGCAATGGCCAATATAATGATGAAATAACTCAAGAGACAAGGAAAAATCAATTTACATAAAACTCAAAATTCAGATGTTAATCATATCACAAACCCTAATCCACGTACTAAAATAGCAAATAGAAATCAAAAGAACCAGATACAACGGAGTCAAACTAAAAATATATACTTTGAGTCTTATGAATTGAGAAAAGAAAGATGGACCCTTTTTATGGACTCTGCAATTTGATCGATACCATTGTCAAGGAAGAGAGTGACTCATTTTATATTAGATTTAGATAGGGTTGAAGAGAAGCTTCAATCAAAAACACTAGCTCCAAAATTCTTAAGGTCTGTAAAGATCTCCTTGGCGCAATTTCGAAGCATGCATCTAACAATTTGAGAAGCCATTAAAGAACAATGCACTTATTTAGTCAATGAAGAAAGAGAGAAAAAAAAATAACTTTCTTATTGTGGAGATTGAGAGAGAGATAGAATATATTTTGAAGGAGAGATCTGAGAAAGAGAGAAGAATGGTTGTCTATTTGAGTAGACCATATATAGTGTGCCATATTAAAAGATCATTTTTTTTTGTTAGAAAATGTAAAATGTCAGTAGGACCCATGTGGCACATGGGCGGAGCTGGCCATGGCTTCCCCCTATAATTTGTATAACCTAGGGTACATAAGATGGTTTCTGAAGAGTTTTATGTGTCAAAGAGACTTGGACCCTCCTTCATAACTGCTTGATTGCATTCTCCCTAATCTCCAAACATGAGCTCGGATGTGTGTAAATGGCTTAAACAAGTAGGTGAGTGTCACTCTCCCTTGGGTTCCATGAAAGAAATGGGGAAAATGGTGTGTGTGAACAAAAACGTGGTGTGTGCAAAAGTGCACTCCAAGCATAGAGAGACTTGCAATGTTGTGTTTTATTTGGAATGGGTATTCCAATGTCATCCCCTCAAGGAAGAAAAGGTCAATTGTTTTTTAAAGGTGATTTGAAAAGAAATGAAAAGTGTAAAATCTTGTGAATTTTGGTTTGGTGAGGTGTGTTTTGATAAAAATGCAAGAAGCAAGGTTAGCTAATCCATAGAGGTGATTCGAATGGGAATGCAAAGTTGACTCAATTCATTTAATCAATGGTGTCTCGGTGTTTGATTGATTCATAGGAAGTGAGGGACTAATGTGGATGTGTTAGGCACAAGCATATGCCGTGACAAGTCTACAGTGTATCAAACCACTTTACACTTCGAGGAAGAATGGATGAGAGTCGATTTCACATACCTAAGAGGAAATTTCCCTTGGATTAGCCAACTAAAAGTCTAGCTACTTATATTCAAATCAAGAACAAACATAATGTAGAGGGACATGCTGATGAAATGAAGCATTAAAATTGTATTGAAGCTAGAAAAGGTTTAAAGCACACGAACAATTTCATTCATACCCAAAATATCAAGATTCAAGAACAAGTAACCAAATGAAGAAATGTAAAATGCTAGAACACTTAACAAACCTTGATTACAACTTGAATGAAAGAGTTTAAAATGAAATAGGGAAGGATTACAAGTAAATTAAAGCTTACTACAATGATAATGGTGAAAAAAATGAAAAAACCAAACTTTTTTTTTCTACAACTTCATCTTCTTCCTTGGAATTTCTCTCTCTATACTACTCCTAAGTTTAGGTAGCCCCCTTTCTTTCAAAAGCTTGTAAAATCTGAATTATATTGTAAAGCTTGGTCAAAATTCATCCACATCCCTTCCTTGGTCTGTGAGAACTGAGTTGCAATGAGTGGGAAGAGATTAGAAACTTCAACAAGCAAGGACAAGCCAAGCACGCACCTCTCATGCTTCACCAACCACCCTTCTTCTCTATCTTGCCCCTCCCATACTTTTCTCTTCCAAAATCTGACTTTATTAGAATGTAATAGACCATCATGGTGTGTTAAAGATGCTAGGGTATGGTTGGGATGACAAGGGTGGGCCCCCGGAGTAGGTAGAGTCGTGTGGAAATGTATTTGGCACTTCTAGGAAAAACCTAGTAGTAAAACGTCAAAAACCTACTGGTAGAAAAATTCCAGTAGGTTTTTCTACTGGTAGGTTTTAAGGTTCTACCGGTAGGTCATAATGGGGATGCTAGCTTAGGACCAGCTTTTGTAATTTTATCATAACGTTTGATCCCACTATATGATTGAGCTGAAATTTTGACACAATATAGAGAACATCCAGATCTGAAACTTTCATGTTTTAAACTTTTTTATATTCGAAGTGGATCATGGTAAACAATGGCAAATACCAAGGTACTAATACCAAATTGTGTGGGTGCCGGTACCTATATTACCAAGTACCGATACCTCCTTGATTTCTTTCACTTTTAAGCCTCAAAATCATCATGTAATGTGTTCATCTTTTCACCACTCGTCCAAACTTAGTTGTAGGGTTCCGAAAGCCATCAATTACTCTATGATTACCTGCAACATCAAAATTTCCACATTATTCACAAATTTGACGAACTCTAACTAATTAAATGTAAAGTTGAGTTAAAATGCATGTAATGAGGCCGTTAAATATGCAATATTATGCACTCATCACACCCCAACTTAAACTTTGCTAGTCCCTATCAAACTAAATGTAAAAATTTGGCAAACAAAAATAAACCTACACTAATTCTGCTATTCCATTTAGCATATGCAACAGGCTTTTAAACCCCTAGGTGATCCCTAGTGGATGCGTTTTGTCTTGTGAAGGTTTCTAGTAAAGGTATCTACAAACTTGTTTTCCTCATATCAAACATTTGAAACATATGCCCATATCCTAACTAGCACTGGAATGTCAAAAATAACTTTGTCCAATGCACCCGAACTAATCAAACATGAATCACATCATAGCCTTAAATGTCATTGTAAAGTATCCACCTACACATTTCCTTTCAAAACTTGTGTGTGTGTGAAATAAATATATAATCTAAGCATTTACTTAATGGAATTCACATTCACTTAGCCATCCAAATTTAGCTTTGATGTAAAACTCACCAAGGGTTTCTCTCAAAAAATGAATAACTCAATGATTATCCGAGCATGCTTTCCATTTGTATATGTGAGATAGAATCTTATGCATAAACCAAAATCCTCACATATAATCTAAAAATGATGTGCATGCATAAAAATTGAAACGAACTTGGCATAATCTCATGAATGGAATGTTAGGGCACTAAATAGCAAAACCAACTTTTCTTTTCATTTAAAGTGTGTTCTTACCATACTTTTATAGATCATTTATGGCTTTCAAGGATTGTATGGTTGGGGTGATACTTGGACTGAGTGAAATGAAGGGTAGAGGGAGACAAAAAGAGTTATTCTAAGGGCATGACCTTTATTATCAAAAATCTTCTTTTTGTAGAATTTTCTACTTTACACCTTCACGTCACTTTTTGTCTTTTTTTTTTTTCTTTTCTCAACATTTTTCTTTTCTTGGTCAACCTCATTTTCTCATTTTTCTTGGATTCTTCTCTTCTTTTTCAGTCAATGCCAATCATCCCTTTTTTTGGGTTTCCTCACCAAATTTCCCTTTCTTCATAATTAATCATAGTCAGTCTCAGAACAACCAAGGTGTGGTAATTGTAATCATTTTGCACTATCTTGGTAAAACATGTGGCATGGAAATGAAATTTCAATTAAGGCTCAAATAAGACACAAGGGATAAATTTTTCACAAGAAAAAGCTAAGGCTAAATGCAATTCAAAGATGGCTGAAGATCATCTCTAGATAAGCATGGGGACACATATTGCATTTTAAGACAAAGTCAATCAATTATCCATATGCACTCTAACCAAAGCAAGTATAATGAGACTATTAAATAAATTTGAATTTGAAAATTTGTTCCTTTGAGTAAATGTAAGTTCCCTCCAACAAGTATTGGCACTAAAGCTCACACGAGTACTTATTTCATCTCCACTACGCATGTCAAGCTCTAAAATGTGGATCCAATCAGTAAATTATCGAAATTACACATTCAAGGTGCATTATGGTTGAGTTCAAAGAAAACACATATGTGATACTCAAGCATAGAATAAACTTCTATGTTGTGCTTATGTGTTCAAAGTTCAAAATGAAGATCAAGCAATCACAAATCCCATAACAATTAGGATAGGTGAATATAGTTCAAAATGATGTTAGCTTTGTGAATTGCAGACACTCTCTTTTCCATGGGCCTTGGGATAATGAAAAACATACTCGGCCACCCTCAAACTTGCTTGACAAGTAATGATCTTGAGGCTTTCAACAATTGCCCTCACCAACTAGCACCAGATGCAAATGGAAAGAACTCTATCAAATTAATACACAACACATTTTGGTGCATGCATGTGCATATTACTCAAACAAGCTTACTTGATGTTCAAGACCACTATATTCTCCTTCAGTGTTTTCATGAATAGTGATCAGAGTAACATCATCATGCCAAGTCTTGTATCCAGGGAGACTACAACACGGTCTAACATTGGCATAAAGGTTTAGCTCTTTCCTCAAAGTGAAGTTCAACGAATGATAACCTTGTATTTTTTGGACTAATTCTAGACTTTCCCATGTTCGAAAACTTTGGTTTCTAGGATCTATTTTCTGCCCAACATTGTGCTCTTCCCATTCAATTGGCGCATCAACGGTTCTGAATATCTGCATAATGGAAAATGATAAAATTTAGAGCAACCTAAAAAACCTATAGCATAACATGTATCATCCATATTCCATAGAAATAAGAGTCAAGAGACTGTTGCAGATGACAGTGACTTGCTAATATGCTTTTAGGAAAATCATGTATCCTGGTACATATATTTTTCTCTACACCATCCATTTAACATATTAGAATGAAAATTCCAAGTTTCACAATCATTTCTCAAGCTCCAAGAAACAAGATATTCCTAGCTCCACTTTTTGGGAAAAGGGCATCCAGAATTTTTCAAGCTTATGTATTGCTACAAAGGAATCGATAAAACTGGTACAGGGGTTAACTGCCCAACTATTGGAGTTAGAGTTTAATTTTATTTTAAGGATGAAAAATAAAATTTTAATTTAGTACTTTTGGGTGGCATTTTGGTATTACTTAGCTTGCTCAATAGATTTTGATAGGGAATCATGAATAGGTACTCTCCATATACTATTCCAACTTAGCAAAAAGTGGAATTTTGTCTTGCTCTATTTTTTCATCAAGCAAAGTGTAGCTTGCATTCTTAATTTTGTTCCATTAAAATATATAAAGTGCTTTAAGTTTCAAAAACATATTACAATGCCATTCATTGATGGGGAAAAAACTTATTTTGGGATCGTGGCATGGAATTAGGGTCTGAAATAGGAATTGATGCAAAAAAATGGTACACAATTTGAAATGGTTTTGTGTAAACTCCTACTCCAAACTAACAATGCAACATTATTAAACCATATCAATTTAAGAAAACCCTTAAATATACACATAATTGTCCATATAATGATGCAATAACTCAAGAGACAAGGAAAAATCAATTTACATAAAACTCAAAATTTAGATGTTAATCATATCACAAACCCTAATCCACATGCTAAAATAGCAAATAGAAATCAAATGAACTAGATACAAAGGAGTCAAACTAAAATATATACTTTGATTCTTATGAATTGAGAAAGAAATATGGACCCTTTTTATGGACTCTACAATTTTACCGATACCATTGCCGAGGAAGAGAGTGGCTCATTTCAAATTATATTTAGACAGGGCTGAAGAGAAGCTCTGATTGAAAACCCTAGCTCCAAAATTCTTAGGGTTTGTGAAGATCTCCTTGGTGCGATTTGGAAGCATGTGTCTAACAATTTGAGAGGCCATTAAAAAATGATTCACTTAATCATCAATGATGGAAGAGAGAAAAAAACATAACTTTCTTATTGTGGAGAGAGAAAGAGAGAGAGAGATAGAATATATTTCGAAGGAGAGAACTGAGAAAGAGAGAAGAAGGGTCGTCTGTTTAAGTAGACCATATATAGTGTGCCATGTTAAAAGATCATTTTTTTTGTTAGTAAATGTAAAATGTCAGTAGGACCCTTGTGGCACAGGTAGGGAGCTGGACATGGCTCCCCCTATAATTTGTATAACCTGGGGTACATAAGATGGTTTCTGAAGAGTTTATGTGTCAAAGAGACTTCGACCCTCCTTTGATAACTTACTTGTCTATACAAAAGAAGATATGTAGACCAATCAATCATGAGACAATAATATACTATTTTATTCTTCCCTAATTAGATTTATAAATTAAATTTGTTTCCCACTCACTCTATAAAAAATATTTTTTTGGTAAATGGAAAGGCAATAAAAAAATAACATTCTAATTTCTTTGGAGTTTTCATTCTTCTCTCACCAAAATTCCTAACAAGTTAGTCCCTTAAAAAACATAGAAGAACATGTTGCCCCCATAACTCCAAAGTATATTCTTGAGTCTTTCACCCAATCATTGATTAGACCAAAATAATTTTAGTCCTTGAATTTTCTTCCATTTATTAACCAGTCATTATTATTAAAATCTATTTTTTTTTGTTTATCTTATTTTTGTGTGAATAATTTTATTTATATTGAATATTTTACTTTGTTATATTAGAAATTTGAATTTTTGTTTGTGTGAGTTTTTGTGCTTAAGGTTTGGCCCCCCCAAGGATAAAATCCTGGCACCGTCCCTATTTTGGCATGATGTGGCACTTCATTTTTATGGAATTAATTTTATGCTAGAATTTTAAGATCAATTGTTCAAAGTTCTCAAGAAAAATTATCATCGTATTATTTGAAAATAGGGTAATACTAGATTAATCAAAATGATTTGAAATGGGAATTAAATGACGTAGTGCTGATATATTCTATTGTTATTTATTTAAATTCAAAAACTTTTTAATATAGCAATGCCTCACTAATTGAATTTTATTCTTGGTCTCATAATTTAATCAGTATAGTATTATTTCTAAAATTAAATTGTTCATTAATAAAAAAGACCATAATTCTTTGAAGAGTAATGTTGGTTGAAACTTAAAATATATATCTAATTTGTTTAGCTAATGACTGTAATGTGGTCCAATAGTATAATTGTGACAGTAACAGTTGAAATTCTGTATTGTCAATTGCTTGAATGCGTTTTTCTTAATCTCCAAACATAATCCCGGTTGTGTGTATATGGCTTATATGAGTAGGTGAGTGTAACTCTCCCTCGGGTTTGATGCAAGAAATGGAGAAAATCGTGTGTGTGAACAAAAAAGTGTGTATGTGTGTGTGTGTGCAAAAGTAGTCCCCAAGCAAAGAGAGACTAGCAAAGTCGTGTTTTACTTGGAATGGGTATTCCAAGGTCATCTTCTTAGGTAAGGAAGGTCAAATTGTTTTGAAGGGTGATTTGAAAAGAAATGAAAAATGTAAAATCTTGTGAATTTTGGTTTAGTGAGTTGTGTTTTGATAAAAATGTAAGAAAGTAAGGTTGGCTAATCCAAAGAGGTCAGTCCAGTGGGAATGCCAAATCAATTTAATTCATTCAACTAATTGTGTCTCAGTGTTTGATTGATTTGTAGGAAGTGAGGGACTAATGTGATGGTGTTGGGCTCAAGCATACCTCGTGACAAGTCTACAATGTATCAAGAGCTCACAGTCGTGTCCGCACTCAACCTAGTCAAACCAAACACTTTACCCTACGAGGAAGAATGGAAGAGAGTTAATTTCACATAACCAAGAGGAAGTTCCCATTGGATTAGCCAACTAAAAGTTTAGCTACTCATAGTCAAAGCAATAACAAATACAATGTAAAGAGACATGGTGATGAAATAAAGCATTAAACTTGTATTGATGCAAGAAGAGATTAAACTACAAAAGCAAATTCATTTCATACTCAAAGTACAAAGCTTGGAAAGAAAACCCAAATATAGACATGGAAATACAAGGACATTAAGCTAGACTTGAATAAAAGTAGAATAAGCTTACTACAATGAAAATGGTGAAAGAAATGCAAAAACCCAACTTTATCTCTCTACAACTTCATCTTCTTCATTGGAACTTTTCTCTCTAAAAGCTTGTGTAAACTGAATAATGGTGTAAAGCTTGGTCAAAATTTGTCCATACCCCCTCCTTAGTCTATGAGAACTGAGTTGCAATGAGTGGGAAGAGATTGGACACTTCAACAAGCAAGGACAAGTCAAGCATGCACCTCCCATGGTTCACCAACCACACCTATTCTCTCTCTGCCCTCTCGTATGCTTTTCTCTTCCAAAATCTGACTTTAGGGTGTAAGAGACCATCAATGTGTGTCAAAGATGTCAGGGTATGGTTGGGATGACAAGAGGTGGGCCCCTGAAGTAGGTGGAGTCGTGCGAGCATGTTTCTGGCACTTCTGCGAAAAACCTACCGGTAGGACGTCAAAAACCTATAGGTAGGACGTCACAGCATTAGATGTTGCAAGGAAAGGCCTACCTAGTATGATAGGAATATGTGAACTAGGATTAGCAATGGGGTGAGTATCAAGTACAATAAAGTCAACAGGAAAATAGAAATTGTCTACTTGAACTAAAATATCCTCAACTACTCCCCTTGGTGTTCTAACACTTTGATGTGCCAATTGCAGAGTGATTGGGGTTGGCTTCATCTCCTTAAGTTGTAATTGCTGGTACACCAAAAAGGGTAGGAGGTTGACACTTGCTCCCAAGTCTAGCAATGCTTGCTCCACACGAAAATTCCCTATGGTTATGGCAATGGTAAGGTAGCCAGGATCTTTGAACTTGGTTGGTGCGTTAATCCTCAAAATGGAACTCACGTGCTCCGTAAGAAATGCCTTCTTATGTACATTTATCTTCCTCTTCACGGGGCACAAGTCTATCAATATCTTTGCACATGAGGGTATTTACTTGATGGCATTAAGAAGCGGAATGTTTATCTTCACCTGCTTAAACATTTCAATAATATCTGAATAGTTAGCAAGTTTAGCTGGTGGCTTCAAATGTTGGGGAAAAGGGGCCAGGATAGGACAACTAGGCACATTCAAATCAATAATTTTTTACTTTTCTAGTGTCTCACCCTCCTCGGAGTCACCCTTAGTCTCTTTCTCATTATCAATGTGGCTTTGGGTAATACTTTTGGCAAAATAGTTTTGTCTATTTGTTTGCCACTCCTATGAGTGGTAATCACCTTCAGTTGCTCACAACTCTCCTTGGTAGACTCAGACGACTCAATCACATGTTGACCCTTAGGTTTTCTTGGGGTTGAGCAGGAAATTTACCATTCTCTTGTTGGGAAGACCCTATGGCATTGGTCAACTTTGTGATTTGAGTCTAAATGTCATTAAAAGTGGCGGTGGTTTGGTTGTTGATTGTTGTGTGGATTTGAATGAATTGGTGCACTACATCTTCCAAATTTCTCTTGTGAGGAGGTTGGTAGGTGGGCAATTTGGATGGTCCTTGTTGACCAAAACCTTATTGAGGTGGGTTTTGTGAAAACCCTTGTGAATTGGACCATGGGTATTGGGAGCTAGATGAGGGACCATGACCATAGTAGGATTGGTTTTGCTTCAGTGGAATGGGAGTCAAAAATGAGCTAGACCATGAGGAGTAGGGTTGTCATTCTTCCAACTAATGTTTGGGTGATTGCTCCAACCCAGATTGTATGTGTTGGGGTATGGAAAGAATGATTGCCTCCT